CATCCGATTGGTCAATGGATTTTTAGATTGATAGGAGTTGCTTTTACTTCAGTTGGCAGAGTGAATCACAATGCGTGTCTTTGATCAAAAATAGCAAGTAGCGGTTTATGCTCCGTAAGAAATGTAAATTGACGAACGTATAGCATTTTGTGAAATCGCTTGATCGCAAATACGACAGCCAGGGCCAATTTTCTATTTGACCAAATTTGAACGATTATTTTAGTGCTCACCTAAGTCTTGAAGTGGAATTCCACCATCTTTGCATTTCTCTGGACCATTAACTGTTAGAATACATAAAAAAAAACTGTTTCAGGGACCCCGTCGCGATTTTGTTTTTACTGTACCCAGTCAGTAACACACACGGATAGTGCGGAACATTTATATTTCGACTAGATGTTTTATTCTTTTAGAATGATACATCTTTCCTTTCGTCCCCCGACACTTGTTCTCATCATAGGATGCACGGAGAAGGAACTTACACCTGGCCGGACGGTTTTATTCTGAAAGGCACTTTTCTCAATAACCGGTTAGCCCCTCAGTCTGAGCTGAGCTTGATTGATCCATCCGAACATGAGTGGACCGGGAAATGGAACGGGGACAATGTGATACATTTGAAATCGGGCGGGGAAAGCAATATACAAACACGAATCATTCAAACGCGATTGGCTCTCAAATTGACCAGTTTGTAGATCGTGTATCTGATTTCCATTTACTTTTTACGGATAATAAAACATCGATACAGTTTCTTTTTCTCCTTCTGAATTTACTTGCTTGACTCTGTTAATTAAGAGTGTCATTAGACTTTTGTTGAATAAATGATCGATCGATCGATCAGTCGGATTTCCTCACCTTGATTCATAAGCCTATTCAATTGGGTCCGACCGAATTTAACTTTCAGTGAATTTGGATGACTTTGTGTCTCGACGGTGGCAATTTTTACTTACGTGAATAAAACAATAGCAATACTATGATCCCGCTTAATGGGATATCATCATCCGTTTCTTTTGCTCTGCGCGTCAGTTTCAAGCATTCATCTGAAACTGCCAACCGTTTCAAGCTGGAAACAATCGTAGAAAAATAGAATAGCATAAGTAACTCTCTCAGCACGAAGACCAGATGTTGCTTAGTTGAAACGGTTGCTTATTGCACCGAATCATTTCAAAAACTTTCATTATCTGTACATCAAAACCATATGGGACTGTAGTATCAGTTGCTTAAATACGGTTGTTTTTGATTTCTGAGAGCAAAGTGAAGCATTAAATTTGTCCGGCTATTCATATGTAAACCACGCCACCGCTAATCACGTCCGTTATTGAGCAGATATCATTTTCCGAAGAAAAAAGATGCTGAAACTTGAATAATCCTGGGGCGGAAATGGCTGCCAAAATACTAAGAGATGCTCAGCAATGTGATAGATTATCTGTCGGAGTGCCACCTAATCAAACTCCGTTTTTATAAATTCTCATTTCCAGCTTCTAAACTGTCTCTATCCTGTCGACATTCACTTACTCGTCATTTAAAATAATAATATCCTGATCATACCGCAACTTTTTTCCGTCTATTATTGATCAGTAATACCGTTTTGGTTTCGACTACCTTTGTGTAAGGTGCCTTGATCAATTTCACTATTTTTCCAGCTGTTTTTCTGTTGACCGTCTGGACCGTAGAAATACCATTCAATCAATTCTGTACGAAGCATGGACCAAACCGAAACAGTGGATCCCACAATAATCGAAGGACTTTCACGAATCGAGTTCTTGGATGGTATTTTGAGGGCAAAATCGGAGAGAGAAAAACAGGTACGCGAGCGCAGTCGTTTTGTGCATGGTTAGGAAATATTCCACTCGATCATTTCACTTCACTTTTTATTAGAAAAAGTTTTTAAATATGTCCTCGTCGAAGCGGACAAACTGACTGCTTACCATGACTTGGTCCGTATTGGTGCAGTATTCATTCAAGTTATATATGTATGCCGGAAAAGCATTTGAAGCATTGAAAAGCTTCTCCAAGACCATCATTACAAGTCAGGTGACCATAATTCGCTGATGACGCATGCAGTCACGGTAAAATTCGAAGGCCTGGTCAACCAAAAACTACTAGCTTTGTTATAAGTCGTTAATAGTGTATAACTTTTGCAAGCACTGAAGCTTAAATTTCAGTTAAAAAAACAAAACACGCCACCCGTCACGTAGAACTTTATTCAACGGAGAGAAAAAGCTTACAGATATAGTGAAATTCCATAATCCAAGGTTAAGACAAAGTTCACTTATTGCCCTCTCTTTGTTTGTCAGTAGACGTGCAAAATATGGTATAGGTGAATTTCTCTAAGCGTTAATTCGAGATAAAACTTGGCAGAATTGGAAGCGCGAGAAGGGATGGGAACGATAACGTGTCAGTTCTGCATGCAGTTGGTTGTCAAGATCTATAAGAATCCTTTCCGTAAATGTCACAAAGGAAGTTATATGGTACTCTGAAAGCTTCACAGGAATAGAAGAAACGCGTCTAACAATAGTTTGACCATGGCCTAAGACCTTGAAATCCTGTTTGAGTAAGCCAAGAAAAATAACCGGGGAACAGCAGAGTTAGATGGGGAAAATACACTGATAACCAAAGGTAGAAATAACTGAATGAGGTGCGAAAACTGCCTGAGCTTTCGAATTTGAAATGATAGACGATGCAGTTTATCAATGCAGTGGTGGATATGAGTTGACCAATGAAGATTGCTATCCATATATATACCAAGATATTTGACAGAGTTCACCCTAGACGAAGGATTGATATTTATCATTGTGGGGTCTAACGGAAATGGAGAGCTAGCAAACCATATAAATACCTACCAGATTTAGTGGGGCTTAAGTTTAGCCCCAATCACCCATCTAAATGTTTCGATAGTATCTATGGGATCCTCAAAAGCATTAAATTTACCCTCACCCAAACGAACAGGAAGAGAATGCATGACTGACTGACTGGTTGACTGACTGACTGACTGACTAAATAGGCGCTTGAAGATGGTGCCCGAGGAGTGAAGTGTTCCAAAGATAAGATAAGATAATTTCACTTTGGACAATTACAAACCGTACAATTGCGTGCGCTCGTTTTGATTTCTACCCTTTGGCTATTCATTTGATCACCCAATAACGAAAGCAATAAAAGGGAGAAAGAAGTGCCAATCCAAAGAAATGAAGTGAGTAAATGCAAAAACGCCACTTTTTACAACACAGCCTTATCAAACAATTTTCAACCATTGACTGATAGGGCTGATCAGGGGTATGGTTGGTATAATCATCGTGCAATTTATTTCCAAAGTGCTCACCCCAATCATTCTACCATCAACACCCTACAGTGAACGGATTTACTATGTAATCCAAGTATAAAGTTCTACAGAAAAGTTTGGGTTGTCATTTTATAAAGGATTGTATGTGCTTCCCAAGGGGGACAAGCCGTCTCCAACTTTGGAATCAAAAACTACATCACTCCATTAATTTAGCCTCTTTCTACTTTTCAACATCAAAATCCTGCAAGTGATGATAACTGTTTTGTTTTCTTGCTCCCAATATTGGCTCATCACGAGTTTGTTACGCAAATGCTTACTCACTTCAATTCAGGTGAAACGTCAAGGACGACAAATGAGGCGAAAAATTCACATGCAACTGATGGATATGATCAAAACATCGAATCCCAGTCGCAATTCCAGTTCATCCAGTGTCCCAATGCGGTCGTTGGATCTTGCACTATTCCCGACCGGTGATCAGAATGCTTCTCCGCAACCAAAACACGAGATTGTACAAAATATTGAACGATTTCTCGAACTTGATTGCTATCCGACGAAGTTCAGTTCTGGAGGAGGTGAGCTTCGGTACAATCTGCCTATTTGGAAAGCAATTGTCATCTGTGATTCATTTGGTTCATGCTGTCATTCTTTTCCAGCTCGTAAAGTACTACCTTGGAGACCCCGCATAACTCTGTTATTTTCTCCCCGAAAGTCTCAGTTTGGTCAGGAATGTGAATTTCTTTAGTTTTAGCTGATCACTGTTACCCTGGATACGAACAAGCATACTGAACAGCCCCTGCTCAGGAAGCCGTTACTCACTGGCTTCGAGTGGCGGAGGTGTTTTTGTCCCGCCACAGATAGTGGAAAGCTGGTTCTGTGAACCATTGATATTTTCTTTACCGGAACGGTCAAAACACCCTGATTCCGAACCGATCAAGAAGAGTCTTGTGATTCACACCTACTCCATCCTGGTGCTGGTCGTCGTCATGGGCTACAGTGAGCATTCATGAGGTATTAAGCGCTTGGGACTTTTGAGTCCATCTAAAGGGTGTATGATCCACAGTGGATTACGAACTCTGAGCTTCGCCCTCATACCTTACTTATATAATCATACACACCCCATATGTAGTAGCACTTCTGCCGATTCTGGTTTACCCAGACCGGGCTGCTGCTAAGTGAAGATCCAGGTTAGTTACATGTTTTGCTGTATATTTTGAGTGCCAACGCATCCATGTTCAGTAAGCTTTTTGCACCTTCAACGTGTAAGATTTTTACTGGCTTGGTCCAGCTCACCATTTCACTGCAACTTGGAAAGTATTACACGCGGGTAGACAGACTTTGCTAATTGGACAGTCATATCTCACCTGATGGACGTGTCACAAATGGAGCGTCGACACGCATGCAGAAAGCTCGATTGGCATTTGCCAAATTCAGACATCTATGGAGTCATCACGACGTCCAACTATCTGTGAAGGCTCGGGTGTATGCTGCTTTACGGTGTAAAGACTTAATCATTACGGGAATAAGGTAAAGATAGACTGTCGGTTTTCGAACACCACTGTCTATGCAGCATATATCGAGTCTGGTGGAGAACCCAGACGGTCCATGCTGAGATTACACGCAGATATCTAGATGAGCACGATCGTTCACTGGAATAAGTGATCGATCTCTATTAGAACATGTGTTGCTCATGTCACCAAATGGGTTACCACAATGCATGGTTTTTGCCGAAACAGATAGTGTATGGGAAAAATCAAGGACGGTCAAACTAAGATCTGGAATAAGCATGGGAAAATTGTAACCAGCAGACTCGGTCACATGGGTCCCGTCAGGCTCCCTGGATGAGGATCTCGAGATCACACTAACCGGTGGTTAGAGACATTGAGTGTTGCAAACAACTACATTCGTGCATCTATCCGATATTCATTACAACCCCGGTCTATATGAATTGTCCATCTTCTCTTTAACTCTACCCTCAACATTCCTATCTGTATTCTGCTCTTTTTTTCCAATTTGGTACCCTAAAGATAGCAATCCAAACCGGCACACGAAGGGGCATGGTTAATGGTTGTAAAAGCTTAACTGAACCTGGAAAGAAGACGAATGTTCAAAGATTGGTACTCTTCGTTCGCTCTTGTTGATTACTCTAGTGAAACATATCGGTTTTATGTCTTCATTGCAGGGAATAATTGTTGGTTAGTGTAACCGATTCCGTGAATAATTGTGTTCAATTTGATCAGTATGGATTCACTAAATGCCAGAAGCTTTGCATTCCGGTTCCGTGATCGCCCTTTGAATGATTCAGTCAAGTGAACTTGATAGCCATGGCAAGGAAGTACTTCGTGATTGACGATGCCGGACTTCTGGTCAAGTTTGGTCTTGTAGTGTCTAAGCGGATTGGTGAATACAAAGGCCACCTTGAGATAGATGTCAAGTCAGTCACCTTGAAACAAGTGTAGTTCTGTTCTGTGCAAGTATTTTTCGTTGAAACTGCAAAAGTTCAAATCAACAACCTGTGATGATGCATCAAGATCAATAATACTGATATAATGAGAAAGAAACCGTAGGGAGGAGTTGCACAATGTGTAGGTTTCCATTTGAATTCCGCAAATAGTGTAATTTGAATTATGGCAGATGTGGGTGAAATATGATCACTTACCATCAGGTTGCGAAAGCTTCCAACCTAGTGCTGAGATGAGCGAGCACCAATACTTGCAACAAGCTCGCATGGATGGTTTGTGCTATATCGTGTAAACGATCTGATCAGCTGCCCGGTGACTGAGTTGGTAGAATGCTTGCGTTCCACCTGCGAGGTTCCTGGTTCGATCCCCAGTTGGGTCGAGGGATTCGCACTGCTGATGAGACCCAACCAAGTCGAAACAGCCTGCCCAGTGCTTCCCATCTTTTCAGCTCACGACGAATTTATCATGCAAACAAATCAAATCCTCCATTACTCTCATGATAAAGAGATCGTCAATTTATCGCCCCGGAGATAATGTGTTAAACTCCAACCACTACCACCTGACTCTTTCTTTGTCTTTATATTATACGACAACCTCTGCTTGACTACTTCCCCGTCCTGCAAGTTGACTGTAAAATTGTGTTCGTAATAAAACAAAGTAGCAGAAATCATTTCCAGAACAGTGTCTGCTTGTTTGCCAGCGTCTGGGGTGCAAATGTGTGAAACGCATAGGGATAACTGATCTGTGGGAGACAATTTATTTTTACTGTTGAAGTATAAATATATTACTCTTACAAGCCTAACAAGACAACTTTCCAAGATCTGGTAGAACACGGGTGACTACTGTCGACTCTAATCTGCACTTCTGCTATGAACCTATTAAGTTTCTTTCAGCTTTTCATTCAGTTTGCACAAAGATGATGAACCTAACGCCCCCTTCAGATATTGCTGTTTGAAAAACTTTGTAACCTTCCCAATTCAGAGCTAAATTCATCAAACCCTCTCAATCATGCTTCTTACTACTGCAAGCGAGAACGCAGTTTCCAACCCATGAAACGGTCCCATATCGATTGGTAATCACCTAGCTGGATTTCTCCCCGGACTGGGAGACAAACGGACACTGATTCAGTAACTGAGCTTTCAACGAAAGGTTAATCTGTCCATTGGGCTTTTGAGAATGACAAGCCTTTACCAGAGTATGGTCTTGGGTTGTCTCTAACCCACAATCGTTCGTTTTTTTCACTCAAAGTGATAGCTACAGTGGCTCTCCACTCACTTCCACAGTTTGTGTGTGGGTTTCTTTACTTCCCTTGTCTTTTCGGCTTCAATTCAAGATCGGTTAAATCTAAGGCTTTAATTACGCTGTTACTTTGATACGACCCTGATACAACCACTCATCCCCTTTGATTTGCTTACGCAAATGAGCTCAACCTTCATTCCATTAAATGTTCCCATTCATTGTGCGTGTAGAAAAGTACACAATGTTGCATCATTCATTAACATACGTGCTGAAATTCTAAACTATCACCTGATTGATTTAGCAGAACGGGCTTTGAAAAGATCAGTGTTACCGACGCGATCTCGTAACTCAGCTGATACAGCGTAGGCTGTAAAGAGATGTAAGTGGTGTCCATGTCTGGGTTGGAATCCTTGGAATCCTTGGAATCTTTTGACCACTAAATGTCTCTCAAACACCCTCTGAACCAATACAGTTTGAAACAGAACTGTGTGATTTTTGAGTAAATATTTCCCCTGTCATTATTGCGACCTACATAGAACAACAAACAAAACTGAACTTTATATGCTAACGTTTAATTCTAGACGAAATTTTTTAGCCAACTGCTTGAATGATCTTCAACGCAGGTTTTATACTGATCGCCCCTTTGAAGATCTTTGGAAGAACGCAACAGCGTTTCGTAATTAGTCAACCAAACAATCGTAGGCTGCTGCAAATTAACAGTATCATGCTAATTTGAGGAAAATCGTCAAAATTGTCTCCACAGGTTGTTTGAATGCTTGTGGGGACTGTTCCTCTGACCATTGCAAAGTTGATAATCCAATGACTCTGATTCATACCAATTTGACGTGAGGTATTTGTCTAACCGAGATACAATTATAAACAGATGAGGTACTTGTGCAGCATAAAACTATAGGAGAATCGGACTAACCACTGAATATATGACAACTCATCGAAGATTAGTGGGTTTTAGTAACTTCGATATGCAAATTGCATGCCGGCACCGCAGTACATATGTATAAAAACGTTATAATCCTATCATTCGGGTTTATTGGAAGCCATTGAAACAGTATATGTGAAAACTGATATAGTATTTACGAAGCTATCCTGCAATACGTGACACGAAGAATACCATTAGATCTGTCCACGTGAATCCGGAGCAGTGCTTTCACAGTCCAATAAAGTTTGATCTGGTAATCAGTCACCGTCGAACTGAAAGACACTTAAATTGGCAATCATCCTGATTTGTTATTTGGTTGGTTTATATACGACTTACTTATTCTATCATCCGTTGTAGTAATATGTTCACATTCCCTGTCATTTTTCTGTTGTATTCAGATAATGATCTGAGTGAAACCAGCTATCAGAGCTCCGACTGGTGTGATCGACTTCCTGCAGTTGCAGAAGATTTAGGCTACCAACCCAAATTGTTCCCCACCGAATGCATTTTGGATGATGTTCCATCCCATGCTGGAGATGAAAGTAAGTGAATTTATTGCAAATATGTATGTCATATCAGGACATCATTGTTTATTTGGGATTAACCGTTCTCAGAATACTGCGCATCCGGATAAGATTTGATTGCTTTGAAAGAGTCCTGCTCTCAGTGTGTCATATGTATCGTTAATATCTGCATAGGGCTCACCGAAACTGGAGTGATATTATTTATTCAGTTCTTCTTTAAAACTGCTTCCATGGACACATGACTCATATTCTTTTTCGTGTACTCCCCATACCAATTTCTCTGTACTTTTTCTTGGTGCTAATCTATATTTTTCTATCACATTTTTGCCCCTAAATATCCCTTTGACCAGTGAATATCTTCGTTACACAAAGTGCAAGTACTTTTATTTTCAAAATTTGTTCGCGACACTTGTTCAGCAGCTTGCAAAGCGAAATTATCCGTAATTCCTATGAGTTCAGTTCGGTTTGGACAACCATCAACTATGCACTTTCGTGTGCCGGTTTTGGTTGCTGTCTTTTGGCCGCCCATTTGTATAAAAGAGCAGAATGAAGATTGGAATGTTGACAGCAAATTATGTGCATGACCTCTGTTCTTCACCACACCAGAAAGCATTTTCATCCAGGTATACATATACATAGATCACACTCCTCTGAGGCCAGACTGTGTGCTGGACAAATCATGGTACAATAATCTTTACAAAAAATAAAAACGTTTCATGATTGACTTGTGGGCTGAATACTGCCAGGTTACCCAGTCTAAGGCAGGTGAATTTTCTTGAGGAATACGAAACCGGAGACTTCGGCTAGCCAAAGCCTGATCAGAAAGGCAGCGGGATGGTGTGTGAAAACCGCAATCTATCGGGAGCCGGTGTCCATTTCATCGGATCGTGTGCCCTTTGGGGTCAAACGTCCAAGGTGCCCAATACACCTCGATGCCCTATTGAGCCGGTGATCATTGCCATGGGTTTGGAATCAGGGTTTTTGGCTAACTCCCCCAGGTGAGCTACCAGTGGTTCCCCAACCCGGCTATAGCCCCGGATGTCCGCTCTTCGTCCTCTCACTTTGGTGAGAAAACACCGCCACGAGAAGGTAGTGAGTGGGGCTCCCTCAGCAGAGGCTATTTGAGACGCTTGATCGTATGGGAGCACTTCGCGAAGTGCAAGGGAAGGGTGACCAGCCACGGCCCTAGACACCCACGCCGGCCATACTGAGAACTCAACCAACGTATTGATCTGCTCTATAATTAAATCTTTTGTAGTGTTTTTTGTCGTACACGGTTCTCCCCGATTCTCAAAATAAGCTTGCATTACGTGAAATACATATAGGAGAATTCGGTTGGTTTTTCAAAAAGTAATGGGGTTTCACGTAACTCTTGCTCACTTACACAATTCTGACCAGAACTTGATCGAATGGAATCACTTACTGCCAAACTAGCTTATCAGCAATTATAATCAGTATAATGCTTATCTATTTTTTCTGTTTATTGTTCATGATGCGGGGATAAAATTTCCCGAAATCAACTATGTTTCTGGAGCATAGCATAGTGTCCGAAAGAAATGTATTTGTAGAGCTGCCTTTGAAGACTTTGAAGATATTCCTAATCTCATGAACAATTTCTGGTGATAACGGGGCAACACTCGCCGCCTGAATTCCATGTTGTCTGTGCTCTGTCGATTCATTTGTCCAACTGGCATGTACATAAAGTCACCTGTGATATTTTTATTTTTATATCCTGTTTATATCCTGTTCAATGCGTTCATTAAATAAAACGTTCGCTTCAGTGAGTGTGAAGGAAGTGACAGCTAGTCTGATAGTATCCTAAGAACAACGAGATGCATATCACTTTCATATGCACTGCGTTGATCCGATATCTATGGTTATGGTTAGCTTTGTGATTGGGGTTACTGTTCTGGTTTCCTATTAAGCTTTTTTTATAGGTTTAGCTACTTCCTGATCAAAAACCGGCAGTCGCTTTAAAGTTATTTGTCGTATGTTCAATCTACCCTATTTTAGAAAGGTTATTCCGTCAGCTAGTTGTAACTTATCTTCCAGTAACTTTTAATGCTTTACAACCTAGAATGATATGTTGCAACTTTTTAGTTGAGTAATTTCATCCCTTTTTGGTGTTAAACTATTACCGTATTTTCATCCCGATTTATTTCACCAGTAAATTTACTGTCTTTTGGGTTTTCATTCGACATCTGGACCTATTTATCGGTTTGTGGTAGCCTACAGCGTTGCGGTCTCCCAACATCTCCTGTCATATTTGGTCGTGAAACTTTTGAGTCCGTGTTAGTTTGTTGTTGACTCGTATTTCTTATTCAATTTTGGTGGAAAAATTTTTATCTTCACTTTATTTTACTTAACTTGTACGTGATTAGGTGGAAATATTCTGATTACTCTGTTATTCCCTTGATTCATACTCAGAACCATGTTACTTGCAATTAGTGCTACTCACCTAAATATAAACATTGTTCAGATAAATAGATAGATATAACATTCTCTTTTATCCTAATTCTCGGTTATGTTTTAATCGCTCCCTCTTGTTCATGCAATGCTTTGAAGCAATTTTCCGGCATTGTTCCACTCAGAATGGCGGTCATCTGGGGACCCGTACGAAATTTAGCGAAAAGATACTAACTACTCATTAGTAGTATAACTCGGTTCAATGTAATATGAATAAGAAGGTTGATGAAATTCATTGCACGAACGTAGAGCTCATAAAGTTAATGGGAAAAAATGTAAACATGATGTGACGTGGAAACAGCTGTTTAAGGTGTTGCGAAAGGTATTACTTTCCTTTTTGAGTGTCTGAATAGAATAATTAAATTATCTTAGATGTTGTCCTGGTTCCTCCATCGTAAAATACATCATAAATTACATCATCATGTCCAAAGATAACCTGGAGTGGCCGAAAAATATGACAACGCGAATTTAATAGGCCTTTTTCATTTTTCAAATCAATTTTTACATCCATCTTTGCAATAACGAAACTCTTACAAGTGCATAACACGTCCGAAATCACATATACGCTCTCGTTGTAATAATCTTACATCATAATCTTGCATACGCGTGGAACCTCCAGATTGCTATCAGATCCGCCTTAGGTGAGAACCGGTCGCAATGGCTTCGAAGTCATACCTTCAAGAAAGTGCCCAAAAGTAGTCTTCATGTGATGAACGATCCGATATTATAAAAAATCGACAGTTTCCAAAAGTATAAGTTAACGAAATTAGGGGATTGGTCCGTCTCAGTGATAGACACTGGCCGTTATTCTACTACTGGTCTCAGTTTGCGTACTGATCTACCACTTCACTTATTGAACAAATAGGTACTAGAAAGACATCAACCAAAAGCAGGGCATCGGAATTTAAATTTAATGACTGTATGACTTGACTTTAACAAATTCGTTTTGCGTTTTCTGACCACCTTTAGATTTCAGAAAGCGGTCTCTTTTGCCGCATCTGAAGCTTGACTGACTTAACCCTTTTTATTTACTATGTGTTGAATGTCGTTCTACTTAGGGACGTCTGATCATGTGGTTTTAAACGGTTCTCCTACTTTATTTTGGTAAAACCACTCATGCACACGTTACTGGGAGCTGCAACCACAAGCTTCAAATCAGTCATCGTTTCCCAGACAACCTCATAAATCTGAGTGACATGATCAACCAATCTGACCTACAGTATTTTCACATTAAAATTCTCCTACCCTCGGTGATCATTTGAAAAGCTACTCTAGTTTCTATCATTATATTTATTGCACTTTAGATACCAGTTATATCCGCTTTGGTCGATTCTCCTCCATCCGTTTTGTGCTATTCTCTCCGCTCCCCAAGTCCCCTCCCCTAAAAAAGAGTTTGCCTTCAGATGAAGAAATTAATATGGTGTGTCGTTGGAAAATCGATCAGTTCAGTTGAATGTAAACTGGTATCCAGGCGAACGGTAGAAGCAGTCGCTTTTCGAGTATCGAATTCTCCCACAACCCCACAGGTGGTTATGCGGAACATCTCAACCAGAGTTCCATTAACCGTGGATCTTCATTCCTGATTAGACTTAGTGAACGCGATTTGGACTTAGTCGACACAGTTATTCTGTGATATCGATCATCAGCCGACCTATCTAAATCCAAACAAGACAGTCGGCCCTGATGGAGTTGCGTTCACATTGTCCCGAGGGACAGTGCTGCCACCGCATCTCTTTACTGTCTAAACGTTTGAGTCAGTGTCTTTCACAGAAGAGTATTTCATCCAAGAAAAGCTCCAAAATCTTATCCCACAGAGTGCACTTCATTTGTTCTGAAAACGTTTTAAAGGCTTCTTATTAATATTCTGTCGATCTAGGGGATCTTCCCTAATTAGCTTACGGCTACTTCCGCTCGATCCTAGTCGCAATCACCGCCCTCCCTTACTTTATCTTTCTCCGCACTAGGAAATAGAAAGGCCGTCCCCAAGTATTTCCTAGATTATACGAATGCTTTCAATAATGAAGGGAATTACCCATGTTTCTATCGTATTCTTACGTATCTTTCTTCATTAGGTATAAATCTTCGATCTAGGTGTGAGGATGTTATATGTGGTTAAATTTAACCCATCGGCTTTGATCGCAGTCCCAGATTTTAGTTCAACTGTAACCATGCCAGGGCAAGGCATCTTGATTACACCGAAATCCGTGGGGACATTCAGATCCTGGTAGCTACTGGGTTACTTTTGACCAGAATATTAGTTTCAATTACTGCTTTTCAACGTTGACGATTTTTTATTGCTGTGTCAAAGTTAACATCCTTGAAGAGTTCCTTCGTGGCGTTAATGAAAGTCATCGAGAAACATTGCATGTGAATAAGCTGTACTGCAATTTTTAAACTATTTTCCTTGGTTTTGTGTATTTGGCGGTTTTGCATGACACGCACAAGCGGGGCCGCAAACGCCAGTGAGCACCTTAAAATGGCTCACGACAGATTGTTCATTTACCGCGCTTGCCCCGGAGGTATGAAAACTTGTTGGCAGCGGTGGGATTCGAACCCACGCCCTTTCGGACCGGTGCCTTAAACCGGCGCCTTAGACCGCTCGGCCACGCTACCACGGGTACGAACGAGCTAAAAATTGTTTATAAATAAATGCATTGATACTTTTCATATTACAATAATTGTTCACGCATGTTATTCTTTTGTGTTCACATGGTGATTTGCTGCATACTCAGTTGATATACATTCGTAATCATTTCAAAATGGAGCAACTTTTATCATACGTTTCCTGATCGACATGAGTTGGGTGAAAGCCTCTGGGATCTTTGGAGCCAACCAATGACTGAATTAGAATTCATTACGATTAATTGAATGACTATTAAACTTACTCACAAATGCGATTTCCATGTCAGTGTAGGTGAATGGTTTCGTATGAGATAATAATGTGTTTTTTCTCACAGGACACAATGAAGTCCCGAATACGTTAATCGAACAATCCATTGATAGCAAAATTACACCAACACAGACGAACAACAACGTTTCGAGGGGCGCCGATTTAGATACTCATTCACAGAAGGTCGGAAGTTTACACCAAAACGATAGGAATTATATTCATAGAAATATTGAGGTGAGTGTTTCAAAGTTCTGTCTCTCGCTCTCTTTCTCTCTCTCTCTCTGTCTGGTAACCTTAAATACCAGCATGATCTCCCATTTATAAAGTCTAATTCTACTTTTTCATAAATGTGAATTATGAATCTCCACAGTTCGATTATCCCTTAACCTGGCTCTTTTCAATTATTATCAGCTTTCCTCCAAGGCCGGTGAAGTTTTGCCTCGAACAGCCAGTGAAGAAGCTCGACTGGAAATGTTGTTGGAAAACGAAGATGAGGTGAACGACAACCCGTTTGGATTTCAGACCCTGTGTGCAGCCCTGTGGTGTGCAGAACGGGAAGTCAAGTGTATGGGGAAGGAGTCTGAACAGGTGTGTTTATACATGTGTGAACCAATTTACCAATGATGAAAATCTCGTTCAAATCATTCTATTGCTTCATTGTTTTATTTCTCGCTCACTGTGAACACAAATACACCTCGACTCTGTTAAACACACACACACACACTATTGCTATTGTATAAGGTCTCGTTCCTTAACCATTACTCTTGGCCAGTGGTTTGCGTGGCACAACATGAAATGAGACCGCTTTTACCCCACACGACTGAATTTGGTAAATCAGGAGCTGATAAACCAGATTGGTAATACATTGAGACGATTATTATGATGATTTTTACTCATTTCTTCAATCTGTGCACTCCGATTATCTGTGCATCATGTCGGCTATGCATCCTATCGTTCACGTCACCGGTAAAACAATCTCTTCCCTACTTTTAGACAGCAAACACGAACGACCAGATTGAAAATAACTGGTTTATCCCGTCACAACCGAATTCTGATCAAATTCACATGTCGAACCACTCGACAGGGGGATTGTGCCCAGTCGAAATACCACGTGAATCAGTCCAACTGGTAGATCGGTTATCAAAAATTGACAACCGGATCTCTTATTTGGCAAGTGAACGGGAACGTGAATCGCAATTGTCATCTCATACTCTGAACTCCGGGGTAAGTCATGTTAACCAGGTTCAATAATTTACGAAAAACAAAAAGTACAAAATAATTTGGTCAGTACCGTTTGCTTTAGCACCGCGTTTTGTGGTGATTTTCAGCACGTAAAGTTAAAACCAGAACCGATGGGAAATTTGCGATCCTGCGGTTACGTTTGAAGGCATTCAATTCGCTTGGTGAACATTCAGTTTGTTGCACATACTCCTGTAAACAGTTCTATGGAGAATTTTGAACTCCTTTATATAAGGCACCAGAATGACGACTTGACCGATGAAATCACGTGACTAGTCAGCTTGACGTGTTCCCGCTCCGGGACACAAAACTGTAGAATTAGGTATGGATTACGGATCACGAATCACGGTCGCAACTGAAGCACAGAACTGCATTAGTAATCGTGCACTATAGAATCTGCCATCATCGAGACGCAGGAAAAGGGACACAGAAGTAGCGGGTCGTTTATTGAGAGAAATAGCTGAGATTAAATAAACATATACAAAAGAAGTTTATTGGTTATACATGTATCCACCACTGGCCTGCTCGTATTCATGACCTCATACAACTTCTGTTTGGACCGCACGACATCTGATTGGTCGGCACAACTGGCCTGTTGTTCGCTGTCCAGAAACTGTCTGGCGTCGCTCTGTTGCTGACGTTTTCCCGTAGGACAGGATCACCACAAAAAATACCTATGTTCTATAGCAGTTACAACACCTGCATTCCTCAAATGTTCTGATTTCTGGGCATCGTCGTTTGTAAAAGTTGGTTCGGTGTATAGTTGTATATTTTATAACAGGCGACGACAAAGTAACAAAAAGCTTAAAACTTAAAAACAAGATAAAAAAAGGCTGGCGAGCTGTGAATAACTATATGCATGCTGGACGTCATAGGTGAAATACAGACGTTTCATCACCCGAGAGAAGAGAATATTCAATAATTATGTGATATAATGATCTATCTCATCTTTTTTCATTCCTGAAATTATCAGTTTTCGCAAGCACGGTACACATTTATGCCTTTAACTCACGTGCTCACTGACACCATGGGCAGAAATCAAGATTCGATTATTTTTCTACCTATAATAAACGAATATGTTACACACGGTCGGAATGACACTGTTGTTTATGGCTGATCCACTATGGTGCTCCCTATCCACTATTGTGTATACATACAGTGTAGTGAGAAGAGGTGTTGAGTACTGAACGGAATAAGTCAAAGTCATTTTCTCACAGTTGAAGCGATCGATTTTCGTTTTAGTGGAATGAGACGGTGAAATGCTTCTCATGTGTCTCGAGAACACAGACACCGAACACTTAATTCGTTTTTCATGAGCCACGAAGGGTCCGAACAGAGCGGTCGGCTTTCCGCACCAGATATACAAATGATTCAAGACTCTCTGTGTGTGTGTGTGCGTGTGTGTGTGTGTGTGTGTGTGTGTGTGTGTGTGTGTGTGTGTGTGTAGAG